AATTAGCTGTGGACAGGGTGTGTGTGTGTGGCATTTGTGGGGTGTGAAGGAGGGTGGGGACATGTGGGGACTTCCCAGACTCCGGCAGTGGTGCACAGCTCCCACCACTGGTGGCAGCCGCAGCAGGTGGTGGCGCTTGGGGTACTCATGGCTCATGCAGGCACTGCTGCCCGGTGGCGCGTGGCTCCAGCCAGTGCTGCACGTGGCGGCAGGGAGTGCAGCCAGGCCAGCCTGCCTCCATCATGTGGGACTCCATGCAGTGCATGTGCAGCTCCCAGCACTCGTGTACCACTGAGGGAAGTCCCGTGCGATGGAGCCAGCTTCCCCTGGTGGCACACGAGTGTCAGCATGTATACCGTGTGGAGTCCCGGGTGAGAGGCAGGCCAGCCTGGCTGCCTCCTTGCCACATGCCGCTGGGCGACAAGTGCCTGTGCAGGCCATGAGTGTCCCAAGCATTCGCTGCTGGTGGCAGGGGCTGTGCGCCATGGGGGGGAATGTGTGGGGGGTTCCCACAGCCCCCCAACCACCTGAGCTCTGCACTCCCGCCACCCCATTGGGCACAGGCTCCGTGCTGCTGCCACCCCCATGCTCCACACTTCCGCCCAGCTGCAACTCCCTCCTACCCACTACAGCTTCTCTTTCTGGTACCTGGAGCAAGCAAGATACGGGGAAGCTGAGCAGGATTACAATTAGTTGGTGGGTGCCCATGGGTCAGATGAAATTGCCTGGTGGGCTGAATATGGCCCACAGACTGTATTTTGCCTGCTGGTCTAAAACCACAGAAACATACGCGGTGCTATCAGTGCTGATGGCTGTATCCAACCTCAATTGGATGGGGAAGATATTTAATACAGTATGATAGAATGTATTTGAACAAACTGAATGTGTTTAAAGAAGCTATCTCTAGCCACTTAAGTTTATTCAGGCAGGGGAAATATTTTGGCTTGAAATAATATGATCTCACTATTTTAGTCTATAGAGAAAAGTTATTAGATCTCAGTACAACTAAAATACAAGCCACAGCATTTTCTTTCATAGTACGCATGGTGTGTACTCATGAGCTATGTTGAACTTTTACTGAAAATGTCAATTATGGTAGCAAAGATGGGCCTTCCAGCTAATGAACTAAGAATTTTGTTGGTTGGATTAATCAGCAATAACAATAATAATAATTATCAGCAATAACACCAATCAGAGCAATAGTTCTCGCACCGACAGTACTAGAAACATAAGAACATAAAAACTGCCATTTACTGGGTCAGACCACAGGTTCCTCTTGCCCAACATCTTGTGTCACAGTGCCAGACAGTGGATGCAGAAAGGAAGACTGAACAGGGTAATGACCAGGGTTTTTCTACCATTCCTCTTACTTGCAGCCTCCAGCGCTTAAGATCCAGGAAGTTCTGAATCAGAGGCTGCACCCTTCACTCCTGTGCTCAATAGCTTAGTGATGCACATTTCCTCCAAGAATGTGTCTAATCCCTTTTTGAATCTGGTTGAACTGTCAGCTTCCACAACATCTTGTGGCAATGAGTTCCACACCCTAATTACATGGTGTGTGAAAAAAACCCTTCCTTTTTCAGTTTTAAACTTACCATCTGCTGGTTTCATTTTATGACCGCCTAGTCCTTGTATTGTGAGAAATAGTAAATAATAAATCCCTAGTTTCTTCTCTTCACTATTCAGTATTATGTAAACCCTTATCAGGTCTCCCCTGAAACATCTCTTCTAAATTGACTAGGCCTAGCCTCCTTAGCCTCCTAGTTCCATATGCTCCTCATATGGAAACCCCTCCATGCTTTTTATTACCTCGTTGCCCTGCTCTATACCTTCCCTAATACTTCTATATCTTTTCTGAGGTGTGGGGACCAAAACCCGGCATAGAATTCAAGGTGTAGATACTGCTTGGATTTATGAAGGGGCATAATAATAAGCCGGTGCCCCCTGCAATCAGGCCTCAGCTCCCAGTGTTTGGGATAGGGGGGGTGCCTAACTATATGCAATGTGTCAAGGGTGAAAGGGGTGGGATAGTGTGTGCCCCTCCAGATTTGTGCACCCGCAGCTGGGCACAAGGCTGCACCTTGGCCAGATTGGCACAGGGCTGCTTCTGCAGCCCACAGGATGAGACTCATTGCTGCTCCTGCCACTGCCGTGACTCCTGCCCCAGTCACGCTGCTACAGAGTAACGCTGCACTGCCAGCAGCATGAGGAGTATCAACTGGGGGTGGATAGAAGGGGGAGCATGCTGCCCTCACTCCTCCCACCCACAAGGTGCTCACGCACAGGGCTGTGGCTTTACCCTGCTGCCATGGCCTGGCCGCTCCCCTCAGGCTGCCCATGCTGCCCCCATCACTTCCCCTCCAGGGTAGAGCTGCTGCCTGGCATGCGAGCAGCTGGCTGTGGGAGGAGGTGAGGGCAGCGCAGCTCCTCCATCTGATACTCCTCATGCTACTGGCGGCACGGTGTTATTCCATGGAGGTGCAGCTGGTGCAGGGGTCCTGATGGTGGCAGCAGCAGCGAGTCTCACTGCCCTGCTCTGCCCTCCTGTGTGGAGTCCTGCCCGCTTGGCCATGGAGGCAGCATGGTGCCCATCTGGCCAGGCTGCAGCCCCGTGCCTCACTGCGGGTGCAGACGTCTGAGAGGGAGGTGGGGGGAAAGGACCCTCCCGTACCCATCTGACGCATCACCTATGGTGCCCGACACATCTCTGGGAGTGTACGCAGAGGCAGGGAGCTGGCCCCTCCACCAGCCCTCCCCAGACCAGCTGCCCATGGCTGTCCTGCTCCCTGGCTGGGGCCCACAACAGTGTATTCCCATCCCAGCCCCTGCACATCATGGCAGCTGGGCCATTTAAACATTTGCCATTGATGGCTCAGGAGATTACCAACAACATAGGGTGGATTTTTCTCCTTGGACCCACATTATTGAGCAAGCAGGTGTGTGTTATTTGCATATGCAAGAGGAGTAACTGCACAGTCCTGCTGCACCCCTTGCAATTGCCATGTACAAAAGTTTGTGCAACATGTATGTACAGGTATAAATATCCTTTTTTAAAAATCTCTTTGTCAAGGCCAGATCAGTTCCAAATTCAAAGCCCAATAGTCAAGTTCCAAAATTTGACTGAGCAGAAGTCCACCGTCAAGTCTGTGTGGCTCTGCCACAGGGCAAATATCCTCCCCTCCCAGACCTGCTGGTTTTGGGCTTCAAATACTCTTCCCAATCCAGAAATGGACTTCCCAGATACAGGCAGGCCTCCTACGTGCAAGCCCCAGGCCCAGAGGCCTTGGGGTTCAGATGCTTCCTTGCCTTGTTTGGCTTTGGCCAAAATATACACGTTGGTGTCTGTGTACCTGCGTATCCATCTAGTTCAGTGGTTCCCAAACGCTGACAGATTGTGCACCACCAATTTAAAACAATACACGCTTAAGTACCACCAGCAAATTTTTGTCAGATAATTATAATAAATCTGTTAACGCATACCACTGACAGGTTGTCTGTGTACCACAGATTGGGAACCACTGATCTAGTTAGTCTATACGGTACAAAGCTACTCTGCCTTCCACCTGGGCTGAGCTGGTCACCTGGACCACAAACCGCCCTTGCGAATGCCGAGGCTAGGGGTCCTCAACCTTGGGAGACTCGAGACATTGTGGGAACGTGCCAGGTCTAATCGTTCACTTCTTCCTGGACACAGAATAATCTGAGCGTGAGGCGGCCAAGGACTGGGAGCAGGGCAGGTCTGCAAGGGTTTGACCCCGCGGGCACCCACACAAAGTCAACCAGGCTTGCCCACCTCACGGTGCCCTCATCGTATGACCACGACCTTGCAAGCATCCCTGACTGAGGATCGCTGCTCCAGGCCCTGGGGCAAGTCCAAGTCCAGTTGCCCCATGGACATCATGCTGGACTAGGTGCTGTCCTCAGCACAGCTGCCCCCACTCCCCCGCCAAGAGTGTCATGGGGCGGGGGCGGGGCCAACCCGCCCCTCCCCCGCCGGAACGTACCATCTCGATGATCTTCGTCTTCCTGCCCGTCCGCTTCTTGACGGCGAAGATGTACTGCGCCAGCACCACCCCGCCCAGGAGGGCGCACACGCTGGCGCTGGCCACCGCTCCCATCTTGGCCACCGCGGCCCGGTCCATGATGAGGGCAGAGGTGGTAGCGTCCGCTCCCCCCCTCCCCTGCCTGTTCCGGGCCTCGGCACAGCGCTTCTCCTAAGAATTCTGCGCATGCGCAGACAGCTGTACCGGGTCTCCCCGCACTCGTAGCAGCCACGGGCGGGGGCGGGGCTGTGAGAAGGGCCGACAAAGCCCTTTCGGCGCTACCATGAAGAAGAGGGAGGTGGGGGGAAGGATAATCTTTGGGAAGGAACATTTGGAAGGCGGGGTATTTTTTCCAGCGTATTTCCGCCTGGGCTTGTTCGCGATGTCCTTACACGGGAAGCTGTAGGATAAACAGCTCGGGTTGCAATAGGGCAGTTCCTCCCTCTCCCCCCCATGACATGGTACAACTCCCCCCCCCCGCGGCCCTGCCACGGCGTTGCCATACTACATCTCTCGTGGTGCCCCGCGCGCTACCGTTTCTGCTTCCGCTTCCGCTTCCGTCCTCTGAAGCGCGGGGACGAGTTGGTTGTTGAAGCACTATGACAACGGGCGCAAAGATGGCGGCGCGGGGTCGTGGGCGCCTGTAACCTCCTCCTGAGCCGCGGCGGCGGCGGCAGCAACCACCAAGCCGGGGCGGGGCTCGCCGCTGCCTCACGGGCTGCCCGGGACATGCCCGCCTGGGCCGGCGGGTGGGTCCTTGCCGGGGCCGGGGGCTGGGTCCCAGGACCCGGGTGACAGCAGCAGGGACTTGCCGCTGGTCGGGGACCGGAGCCTGAGGCTCCCCTCGCAGCACTGCCCAAGCCCGCGCTTTGCCGCAGCGCCCGCGTGCCTCATGGGCCCCTGCCTTCGCCGGGTCGCCGCCCTCCTCGCAACCTTGTTTTCAGCCCCGCCATGAGTCCTGCACGGCAGCCGCAGGTCGTGGGAAAGCCGATTTGTGTCCTACCCCGCCCGGCGTCACCCCAGCAGCCCCTTCGATGCGATTATTTGCTGGAGCTTGATGCTAATCCCTTTACGTCTCGTTTGTAGAAAGGAGCCGCTGTTTGGAAACCGAGACCGCTCTGGTGGTTGTTGTGGGGTGAGGACCTTGCGGCGAAGGGACCTTATTCCCAAAGGTAATGATGGTGGGGCAGGGCTGTTAAATTCATCCAGCCTTGTGGGCTGGGCGAGTGCTGCAGGGCTGGCCTGAGGGGCAAGTCAGGCTTGTGCACACCCCCTTCCCTTGATTTGCAAGGCTGCTGGCCCTGTAAGGTGACAGTTTAACACAGGGGTGTCAAACACATGGCCCCTGGGTGGAAGGAGACCCACAGGCAGGGCCTGGGACATGTACCATGAGGTCTGTTCTGGCTGGTTTGTGATCTACATACCCCCATCTGGACTATGCCTACCCCAGCAGATCTGGGACTCTTCCTCCAATATATGAGTTCCAGTGCCTGCACCAACCAGTCTGGGATCTGCGCTGCATGTGGCACAGATCCCAGAGCTGCCAGAAAAGGGGTCTGTGTGGCACAGTCTGGCTGGGGACACATAGCAGGGATCCTAGAGCAGCTGCAGGCTGTGCCTGCCCTCGCCAGACTGCTCCATGCATGGTGCTTGCTCCAGCTGGTCTGGGACCCATGCCACATGTGGCACTCACAGGTGCCACGTGCAGTGCTTGTTCCAGTGCTTGCTGGGGCAAGTGACATGTGCAGTGGAGTCTCAGAGCTGCTGGGGTGGGTGCAGTCCAGCTGGGGTTATGTAGCACAGATCCCGAACCAGCCAGAGCAACTGTCATGGTGCATGTCCCAGGCCCTGCCTGTGGGTGTCTCTTCACACCCAGGGGCCATATGTTTGACACCTGTGTGTTAGAATATCACCTTCTTAAGGTAACAGCAGCCTTGCCCAATCTGTCTGAGTTCTAACGGCTTCCAAGTTTAACTACTTTCTGAGTAAACGATATTAGGGCTATACAGGGGGTCCAATTAACTTTCAAGAGTCCTTGGAAAATACCTATTTAATGGGGAAAAATGGGGAGATGTTTTTTGCTAGTGATGTTCAGGTCCTGAAAAAGGTGCGTTATGTTGTGCTATACAATGTGGTATTGCTTTTTATAAAAATTCCACGAAAACTGTAAAGTCCTCTGTGACATCATGTGATAATGCTATGAAAATAGTCAAGCTGTAGAAGTCCTTAGAATGGAAGTAACAGAACTTTTATTCCTAAGTCATGCTCTTCAGATTGCATCTGGACTTCATCCCATCATGTAGTCTTATAACCAGGGATCCTGGTTTTCTTTGTTTAAAATTGCAAATTCTCTGATTAAAAAATCCAAATTCCCATGTTCCTACCCCCTATATCCCCAGGAGTGCGTGCAGTGGTAGGGAGACAGACTTCCCCACAATGAGCTGCCTGTACTCCTATCCCACTCCTCAGCTAGGCCCTGTGGTCGTACATTCCCAATTCAGGCCCCAGCCCTGCCCAACTTCCTTCCTCCCTCCTTATGAAGGCCTCAATTCCCACCCCCTCCTTACCTGGTAGTAACTGCAGGAGCTGCTCTTCATGCTGCCTGGCTGCCACGTGCATGTGTGTGCACAGATATGCACATGGTGCCCCCTGCCTGATCGCTCTCCTCCCTTGTAGGCTGGAACTCTACCAGCCTGGGAAAGCCTGCTGTTTCCCACACTTTTCTCCTTTTAAAAGAGAAAATCTGCATTTTTCTCTTTAAAAGGAGAAAATACATGTTTTTCTATGGTGAATGGAAAGCTGAGATTCCTGCTTATAAGGTGGTACAGATAGCTGTTGGAGCAGCATGTTTAGCTTATGTTGTTTTGGAAATATATGCAACTTCAATTATTTAGAATGTGATTTACCCTGTCATTTTTTAAATTGTTCACTAAACAAATAAATATAAACATTTAAAAACAAAAATATTTTAGTTTAACATTTGCCACAAAAGGAAATATTGCTTGTATAACTTGATATATAAAATATGGATTTTATCACAGAGTTGATTCTTCCTTTTAGAGTGAAGAAAAATGTCTTTATTTAAAGCCCGAGATTGGTGGTCCACAACACTTGGAGAAAAAGAAGAATTTGATCAAGGATGTTTATGTGTAGCTGATGTTGACAATAGTGGCAGTGGACAAGGTAAACATATTCTCAGCTGGCATTCCAGTCTTACTGGTGATTTACAACTGCAGTTTGCATTTATGCTATCACTATAATACTGAATGCTCATTAATCAAAGTAGAGAGAAGCTATTTCTTTTGTTTATTTTTGAGTGCTTTTGAGGTCATCCAGTTCCACTGGTTGTAGAATTGCAATCTATTAGGTGGGTGCCTCTCAGTGGTAAGCATGTTAAATATTGTCAGCAGATATTCCCAGAGATTTCTCATTGGTTTCCAAGCGTGAGACTTGACCTATGAAGCACTAAATGTTTTGGGATCTAGTTGCTTGAAATTACCTTCCCATGACATACTGCCATATTTCTAATCAGCAGAGGCTCTTGAGTTTGGTTTGGGTTGCATCACTATTAGACAAGGCTAATGATTTGTTTGTTTTGGTTTGTTTGAAATTCATCTCAACTTGTTGACTTCTGGGCATGCAATCTAAATAGATATTGACTGAGGCAATTAAGTTTGGAATTTGTCTAGTGAGGAGGTACAGCTTGTTGGGAAAAGTGGTTTCTACTGGTCATGTTACTAAAGGTTTAAATGGCATGTGCTTTGGTGGAAAAGGCAGGTTTCAGGCAATATTTTACTTTATAAAAGCATGTTAAAGATGAGTAGCTTTTGATATTTATTGACTTTTTGTCTAGAACTCCATAACAAATGAAATATACAGGAATCTAATTACCTTCAATTGTACATCTGGAAGGAAAAAATGTTTTCTCTTTTTGAGAAATTTCTGTAGTGTGCATGCAAATAGGATAGCTTTGGATTTTTAAGGGTTAATGGTAATATTAAAGCTATTTTCTTGATAGGCTGAAGTCAAGCTGAGATGACTATTACTGAGAACTTGCCATAGAAACAGATGAGGCAGAAAAAATTCTGAGTAGTGAATTGCAGCATGGAAGCCCTTTGCCACACAAGAGGTGGGGAAATAGGCAGCCTTCTTTTCACAGATGTGAATTGGTACCCGTACAATTGGTACAAGTGGGGAAAAAGCTGATAAAAACCTGACTCTTTCCATTCAGAAACAGTTGTCCTCCAGCTACACCTACTTGGCTTGTAGGTAAGTTTGGCCACCATCATAGGTAGCATATTCACACCTGGAGGAAATAATTGCTGATGTCTTCTCTGGGGAGTTGAAGTTTTTTCATTATTTGTGTTACTTTAAACAAATACAGTTAAATAAGCATCTGGCCGCGTAGTGATAAAATATGTTGTAATAATCATGACTTTAAAAATGGTGAACCAGATCTAGTCCTGATATAATTAGGCACAGTTTCCTTGGAAGTCAATGATTGTTTTAAGGCAATAAAGCATAGAATGGTCTAATTTCAACCTGAAGTGTTGAAACCATCAGATTTCAACTTTTCATTTGGGAGGTGTATAAAAAGTTTTATAAGTTAATATTCTGTTGCTTGTTTGATCTGAAAAAAAACAACAACATTCAAAACCATGATAGGGGCAGCCAAACATTTGGAGGAACTGGCTACAGCCAGAAAAGAGATTTGAGGTATTTGAATTTCTAGAATTATGGCTGCACTGTGGTGTTTACCCTGATCCACCTTGTCTTTGCTTCATTACTGAAAAATTAAGGAAAACAATTAACTAGGTTGTAGAACGACAATAGGATTATGTGTAAACACCCCGTTGCTGAATGAGTGTACTTCTAAGAACACTTTCAGTAAGCTTAATTCTGTTAGTTAGTTTCCTTGTCTGTCTTGTAGCCTTTTTCTTTACTCTTTGGCAATCTTTCTACAGATAAAATAATCGTGGGCAGTTATATGGGATGTCTTCGAATCTTTAATCCTCATCCTGTAAAACCTGGAGATGGAATGCAAGCTGAAGATTTGCTCCTGGAAGTGCAATTGCGAGAGCCAATACTGCAGGTGGAAGTAGGAAAATTTGTTTCGTAAGTAAACAGACCTTGCTGTTGGTAATGACTGGACTAATTAGCAAGCTTTATGTAACTTTTATCATTTGAACCACAGTCACCTCCCTAAAGATCAGGCATATTACTTTTGGTAAGTGTCTAGGGCTTAGATAACATCTACTTTATTTGAATCAACTGCTACTCCTTGGCCCAGCAGTGTTCTGCTTTGTCAGCTGAAAAATAAAAATAAAATTTCCCGAGTTCTGAATTATGCATGGCTTTGAATTGTTAAATCTTTTTAGTAACACTTTTTCTATTTATTCTATTTATTAATTTAGTTTTGTGAGCATATTAAAAACTTACAAACGTATTTGTTTTGAGGTTGCATATTAACATTGTGTAAAGATACTTTTTCAAAGAAATGAAGCGACGTTTTCAAACAGATGGGTAGCTCTGCAACCTCTTTTATGTACTGTAAACTAATTAAAGAGTAAGCCATATCAGTTTTCCATACTTTTTTTAAACTGTGTTCTCCTAAAGGTACTACCCAGATATAAGAGTGTGTCTTATCATGTGGGAGCCATTTTAAGGTGCCTGTTGTAATAAAGGGTAAGAGCTCTTTGCTGTGCATGGAATTTTGGGCATCTAGGCCCATGATTTTTTTTTTTAGCTAGGTTGCTGTGACATCCTGGAGCGTTTTGAGATGCTTTCAAGGGTGTGCAGGATGCTGCACAAGGTTAGAACTACTAGGTATGCAAGTATGCTTCACAAGGTGCACCCAGAGATTTCAAATAGGAATCCATTGTGTTAAAAATATTTTGACCTGTCCTTTTTTTTTTGGAGTTCTTTGCACCAAACTGCTTTATTTTTCCATAATCAAAAAAACAAGTAAAAACTAACAGCTCACATTTTCTGAGGAGTGCCTTGAGTCTGAAAGGCTGAAAACCACAAATCTAGGTATTGAGGAGAATGGGCACAGAATACAAAATATTTTGAATACTACTATCCCTTTCCCTTTGGAAACCAGTAACATTAACATTAGTTTTTATTGGGTAAGGGGCTGTATGGTGAATCAGAAAAAGCTTGTTCATTTCATATGCTCAAAGCTGTCAAAATGTCCCTCAGGACTCTGCTTGGAACTCGGCAGCCCACAGCTGCCAAATTTAACTTCAAACATATTAGTTTAACAGTATTGTGTTCTGCTGGTATTTGGCATTTGAGAATTTTGGAGACTGACCCAAGACCCATGTCATTGGGAGTCTTTGCATTGTTATATGGATTAGCCCCTTAATTCTGTAGTTTACTAGAAATTAACGTGCAATTTTCTTTCTCTGCTAGTGGTACCGAACTACTTCATCTAGCTGTGCTGCACTGCAGGAAACTCTGTGTATATGCTGTCTCAGGTAATAATAATAATAAAAAAAATAGCTGACAATATCTCTCTCTCTGCAGGGGGAGGGAGTGCCAGTTTTATGTTTAGCTGTTTGTCCTCTCTAGGCATTTGCTGGAACATTTTTGTGGTAGTTTGGCTTTAGTGCAGATTTATTTTTGAAGAACTATCCCTTCAGGCTGCACTGATGTTTTTTTTCCCCTCTTACACAGTCCCAGCCCTTCTTTGTCAGACAGTAATAATTGTGTAGAAAATTAACCCTGCAGCTAATGCAGAGTAGGTACTTTGATCAGTGTTTGTAGAATTGCACTGATGATTTCTAGGCTGCACTTTTCCAGGAGATGCATTAATGTTGCCTTTGTAATATTCACAGTTCAAAGAATGATACTGCAGGTCTCCTGGTATAAGCGGTAACTGTACAGCTGACCCATTTGTTGCAGCTTGTTATAGGATCTTTTGCACACATTGCTGCTCAAAGAGTTACATTTACATAAAGCATGTGGAAGTTTTTATATAAAATTTTACAAACAAATGAAAATACAGAAGTAGGTGCTTCTTGTTAATAGTTTTTTGTATATATTACTGCTCAGAAACCTAATGAATGAACTGTTGCTGGTTTAAGGGTAACCTAAAATGAGAAAATTATTCCTATTCAACTGGTATTAGGATCTTCATCTTTAAAAAATAAAATGTAATTTGAGATTTCAAATGGCTGAAGTAGCCCCTGGAGAAAATAGACTAGTGCAGGGTTGAGGGCCAGAATTGCGAAGTGAAGGGTAAGTCCTCTTTCCTTACTGTAAAAAAACAAATACCTCTGTATTACATGTGGGCTGGTAAATTGTAATATGCTCTCTTTTTTATACAGGAGGAAAGGGCACTCTTATATGCTATATAGCACAATTTAGGGGCTCCTCTATGTTATTACATAGGAGTTTTGAAAATGGGGTAGCAAGGGTTCAGATGCATGACAATATAGCTATACAAACTATTTTTCAACCACCTTTCTAATGGTAGCAAGAACAGCAGTTGCTGTGGCTTCTTACACAATGATGATGGAGTAGTGCAGATTGCTTACCACTGAAGAGTCTTGAGCATGGATTAATTCCACACAGATGCTGCTTCCTCTGTGTCCCAACTGACTTTTGGGTCTGTTCTTAGCAGAAGCCCATAGAATTGGTACATGTATAGAGATGAAGCTTTCAGATGTAATATGATGCCTCATGCTTAGTCTTTTCTATAGTGACACTTACAATTTGTAATGCCAAAAGACAATTAAGCCATGCAGGCTAATTTTTTGTCAGGGTTTTTGTTTCAGTTAACAAAACTACTTGTTAATTTCAGATTACTGGAAGATCCCCTTCCTCTCCTTTTTGCTCTGCCCTCCCCCCCCAGCCACTGAGTCCAGTTTGTAGGTATTTATAGAACAAAAATGAAGATACCAATTCTAAAATTCCTGGATTGAAACATTATCAGATTTGAGTTAGATTTATGATGTTTTGAACTTACTTTGAGTCTCAGCTAGATCAGTGTTTCTGGGTCTTCCTGTATTCCAGTGATACTTTTTTTTCAACGCAGTACGTAAGTATCATTAAAAACATCCCCGTCATATATAATGAAGGCAAAATATGCAAATGGATTACTGCAACTTGGAATACTTAAATATCAAAAATAAAATTTGTCATTAAACTTGACCTCAGAATTTTTCAGCTGTGCTTTTATAATTGTAATATAATTATCATATAGTGTATTTCTAGCCTCTCACAAATTGTGTTGCAATCACCTCCCATTCTTGCTGGAAAGGTTAAATCTATGAATACTACAGCCATGTCACACCTTAAACTTAGGATATGTTGACTACGCTTCAAACTGTAAGCATCCCTGTGTTCAAGCAGTAAATACATGGTAAGTTAGATTGCATTGTAGCAAACTTACAACTGTTCATGGGAGGAGTATCTCCAGATCATATTAAATAACATGTGTTCAGCTGTTGGGGATAATATAAGCAATTTGCGATCCTCACACAGCCATGACATCAGCTAGGGACACTTCTCCTGTACCAGTCTTCAAAGTGGGATCAGGTAGGCTGATTTAAGACTCCAGTTCAGTGCCAGGGTAAGGACTGACAATCGGCTGATTGTTAGTCCCAGCCCTCAGACTGTACCAGAATCGGTTCAAAACTCTGGGGCAATGCTGAGTTTGACAGTCAGCAAGCTGGATGTCTGAGATGGTAGTAAACTCGACCATGTGACACATTCTTACTTTTAATATTGGACAGATTTGGCACATACTAAATGTTCTGTGCAATAAAGCATCTAGATGACAATATGAGCGACTCTACTCTCAAAAATTGCTTTTTTGGGGTTTTCATGATCAGCTCCATTAGGCAGGTGTATTTCTCCAATTGATCAGTGGAGCTCTTAATTTTTGTGCTCTAATTTTTCCACTCTAGGTATCTCTAGTCAGAAACATTTGTTTCCTATCTACACCTGTAAATCCAAGCTTAAAAGTTAACTGTACATCAGGTTTCTTTCTAAGATAAAGCTGGACTTGTATCTGAACAAGTAAATAATTTAAAACACTCTCATAGGAACAAAGGATTGTCAGCACCTTCCACTACAAGGGAAAGGTACACTTCTCTGACCTTGCCTTTTCTAACAAACACAGAGCTGCATGTATATTTAAAATAAAACAAAACAGTGATTGTCCTGCTGCTACACTGCATGTGCTTATTTCCCCTGGGCAGAGGATGAGAGTAGAGGGAACCACACATGAGTTAGTAACTCATTAGACAAGTTGACTGGGGAGGTGCCTGGATATTATTGTACTTTAAGTGATAAAAGAACAGTTCTAGGCTAGACTACGTTTATCCAAAGGAGGAAAGTAATTTATCTCTTGTTATTAGTTAATAGAATTTATGAACTAGAAGTTATAAGGTTTTTTGTTTTTTTGTCTTTGGCTACCTATTAGCTGTCTCTTTAGCTGCTTAACTTGCCCTTATTTTCCCCATCTTCCAGCTGTGCTGCAGGCCATTTTTTGAAGTATAAATTTAAGTGTTAGGTTGTTTTTTAGTTGTAGCAGATTATAATTGGTTAATCCAGATTCAGAAGCTTTCATTGCATTTGAAAGCAGCTTAGTTTGTTAGTATGTCCTAGGAAGCTGTTGAAATGACAGTCTTTGTATTCTTGGTATTGTCTGGAGTGCCGTTACAAGGGTCAGCTTAGAATTCATTCACTTAAGTCTCCACTTAATGCTAGTAAACATAATTTTAAAATTTAATTCTAGGTGAAGCTACATGAGCAATTTCTGGCTGATCTTGTTTCTTTCAGCCTGGTTTCTATACTTTCTGTTTCACAAAAGATTATACTGAATTTCAAATGTTTATTATGAAAGTATCCTTCAAAAATTAAAAATAATTCTTTAAAAATGCCAGCATCCCTAAAGTATAGTGAATGCTTTTGCGGTAACTTGGATTACTTCAGAGAGAAATAGTCTATGGCCTGCCCCTGTGTTGTTCATGACTGGTGTACGTGAGATATCAGGCTGATGGTACTTGTTTGTTACTTGCTGGCTCATTATTGTGATCACTGAGTAATGGGCTGATACAGCTCAACTGAGAGGATCTTTTAAGGAGATAAACTAATTTTCAGATGCACCATGTTAAGTAAATGACAACTACAGAACTACAATTCAGGATGTTCTGTTTTGTCTGGCTTGTGCAAGTAAACTGAGGGTTGTTTTTTTTTTGTTTTTTTACTGAAATGTTTGATCCATATACTGTACAGAGTTGTACCTACTTTGAAGAAAACCATTTTCATGATTGGAATATCAGTCTCTTACAATATTTTTACATAGCATAACAACAGTTTTCCCAGTCCTGGCCTTTAGGTGTTGCTGCAGTATAAATAATAAGAATTCTTAGATTTTTAAGAAAGTAGAAGTATTGACCTTGACTTGCATTCTCAAGCAACTAATGTATGAAAACCTACTGTAATGCTGGTTAAGTAACTGGTAAAATGTATTTCTGCTCTCCTATTTATAGGACTGACACAAAAATAATATAGCATGTTTGCTCTTTATTTCCACAGGAACTTTGGGGAGTGTGGAACATGGGAACCAGTATCATATCAAACTTGTGTATGAACACAATCTTCAGCGAACAGCCTGCAACATGACTTATGGACCATTTGGTGGTGTAAAGGGTAACTTTAATTATAATGCAGCGTAACCCATTTTCTAAGATTATGAATGTAGTTCTTGATGCTCATTCAAACCTGTGCTTCTGCTGAAAGTGCTACTTTTCAGTTTTGGAAGTGTCTGTGATAGGACCATTTTAATGCTATTATTTGGAATGAGAATACATTGGGAAGTGTAATATGATGTAAGACTGATATACAAATACAGAGGATCTGGAGATGAAAGGACAGGTAAATATTGCAAATGAAGTGCTGGGTTATAAGGATCTTTTAAAGTCAAATGAAGCTCACATTTTGTTTCTTTATAATATTTCTGGTGCCTAAAAAGCTTTAAAAATGCTTCTTTAACTTCCTCACCTTAAACACTAAGAGCAGTTATTTTCATCCTCTGAGCCCAGCGGAATGCTGTGGATTTTTCTGGTGGGGAGGGGCGAGGCGATGGTGGTGCAGGAGTTGGATTATAAATGCTACATGGAAATGCTCTTTGCCATTTTAAAAGTAAAATACCTTTGTCCCACTAGTGTATTTAAACTGCCTTCTGAAATGGTAGGTAAATACTTAATATTTTCTGTGGCAAGACTGTAGATGCCTATTCCCATGAGGCTCTTATTACAGGACACAAGTATTTTTGGAGCAGTTACAAAAGGGGTAGCAGCTGTTGTGTGTGAAGGAGTTGAGAGGGATACAAACATGTCAAAATCTCTCCAGCTTTAACCTTACTTCATCTAGGCTTAAGGTTGGAGCTTTTTTTGCTACATTTGCATTTTTCTCATCCTGTTCACGCACAAGTAGAATGTAACAGATTAGGGCATGGACACATGTCATGCATAGAACAGTTTAAATGTGATTTAACTTGAAGTTGACAGACATAAAACCTTGTTTTTTAAACTTGCTTAAAGCTGCTTGGAATTGTTCAGAATTGTACGTGGAAAATAAAGTATTATTTTGAACTCGTTCACTGTTATGTGGCGGCACAGCTGCAACTGGCTGCTCTGGTGCACAGCCAAAACTGTATTGCCCTCTTTATTTTCCTCTTTGTTGGAAGTTTTATCAGTAAACTCCCATGCACTGCTTGGTCAGTAAAACCTATATTTCTAACAACTGGCTGTGTCCTCACGCCTTACTTGGTCAGAGCTTCTCATCATGACCCTTCCTTCCCAACCCTACCCCGCCCCCCCGTCTCTGGCAACCAAAAATCATGGGTCTGTGTACTCCTTAGCTCTAGTCAAGCAAACTTCAGTCAGTTGCAGGATATTGAAGTTTACTGAAGTCATTCTTATGAGAGAAGACCATATAGAAAAGTGAAAATGTCCCCAGGCACACCTACTACAAGACAAGTTGGGCTGGTTGCTCACTGCAACCCCCTGGTGTCTGAGTCATAGGGATTTGCCCTACTGTGAATTGGTTCCAAGTCGGTGACATCTTGGAACAAGTCAGTTATGTACCCAAAAATGTCTTGTATTTCTGGTGGTAGATAATGCAGATCTTGAAGTGTTGTGGAGTCTACTGCCACAGTGAAACGTTTTTATTATAGAGTCGCCATATTTTGTGCAAATTGTAATTTATAGTCTCAAGATGTAGTTCCATAAAAGTACATCACAGCAAATTGGCAACAATATGGATACCTACATGGCTACCTCAGGCAGGTCTACCAAGTATAGATGAAGTGGGGTGTGAAGGAGGGAATGTGCTTCTGGTCAAAGCCACTAGCTCATGTCCAACAGAAATTGGTAATGATTGTATAATATTACAAATGGAAGGGACTCTCTTTTCAGTTTTGAACACCAATGCAAAATATTATTAACTTCTGGGAGCTTGGGTCAACCTAATTTACCATTGTCTTTTATGAGCTAAAGTTGTAGCCAAGTAGCTTTTGGACAAGCCTCAACTTTGTTATGACACTGAATTATTCTTTCTAATCAACTGGCTGAGTGAGATGTGATGTAGATGAAAAGCATACTGATTATAAGGCATCTCATCTGTTTACTAGTAATGCCAGCCTCACACATGTTGAATAAAAGGAAAAGACTCTGCTGTGGCATCAGGGCAAATATTGCCCAAGTACTCTTTGAGAAAAAAGTAGTTTGAAGTTATTTGAGCTACTTCAATCAATCCTGCTAACATCTACAAAAGTGAAGTAACAAAACTTAAATTACTGGTTTCAAGAAAAGCTGCTGGTAAGTCTAAAAGCGAGCAGGGAGATCTTTTGTCTCTTGTCCATAACTGCTAGAAAGATGAGAGATGCAGCCGCTATAGTTTGTCAAACCTAGGTTTATAAACCAAGTTGAAAAAATGCAGAGGATTCAGGAAACTGCCAGGATTACCCTTTATTATCTTTTGTTATGACTTAATTATATAGAAAAGCAATACATGCTTTTATTTGCCTTATATCACAACTGTACAAAACAATGCGTGACATTTGAGCAAGCCACCACTAGATGGTCCTCTCATGACGGTTATTTGTTTCTTTGACACATTTATAAGACTTTTTTCCATCCTTAGAATGGTTCTTTAAGTGCAATTTAATGCAAGATTTAATGAGATGTGGAAAAACATGAAAATACTTGCTGACAATTTGCTCAGCAAAATGTATCTTATTTACTAAAACTGGATATATTCCATAGTGCGGGGTTTTGTAAAAAGAGAAGTGAATTTGACTTTTTCTTGCTACAAAAACATTATGGCATGGGGTTGGGAGAGAAAAAAAAAAAAAGCCTTTGTAGGTTTATCTAGACCACTTAACAAACAGTGAAATTGAAAGTGTAAAAGTGTAATAAGTGTAATTGGTATTTTGCATGCATGTAAGCAAAAGACAACATACAGAATGCTGAAAGCAAGCAATATTTTTGGTACTTCAAAATCTTGTCAAATAGAGTTGTTTGCAATTTATCAGTTGTCTGATGCTTTGATTTATAATTTTTATGGCATGTTTTTTTTTTTTTTGAGCACTGAGCCTCCAGCAAATTGACTTTTATTAGTAGATGTTTTGGTTTGGGAATCCAGAAAAAAAAAAA